TGTCACCCCTCTGAACAGCCCAGGTCACAGAATATTTCTGCCTTCACAGAAAGCCCCATTGGTCAGTCAGACTTGCTTGCGATGATGAAGAATCATGTGAGTTTCTGAATGTTTGACTGAGTAGTGGACACTGGCCAGGACTCAAAGCCTCTTCTCTTCTGGGGAGCCCCCACCCCCATTACGGATCCAAAAGTCAGATGTTCTGTCTTCACTCCTGACAGGCAGGCTGTGGACACAAACCAGACACGGCCTGCCAAAACTGCTAACTCTAGGAAGAAGCGAAGTCAGAATGTGTACAGTGTGGGGGGCGGGGGGGGGGCTGCCATCAGCCTCCCTGCCAGTGGCCGATGCCTGGAACTGTGTCTCCAGCGTGCCCATGAATGCTGCCACCCACCTGACGTTTCTGCAGTTGGCTGCTCAGCTGGCACGAGCTGCTCCAGCACCTGTCCTCCTCCCTGAGATACAGCTGAGCACGAGGGGTCACACTGGGAACGGCAGAGGCAGACAGAAAACAGACATTTGAAGAGAACCTTAGCTGGGCTGGCAGTGAGGCAGGTGTGGGAGTCAGAGAGGGAGACACTGAGTATGGCTGGCAGGGAACGCAGGGCTGGTGCTCTGTAGGTGCACTCTGAGAGGGAGGCAGGCAGGCAGCGGGAGAGGAGACGTACAGCATTTAACAGACAGCAGAACTTCTAGCTGGAAGGCCCTGAGGACTCAGCAAAGATGCAGGCTGCAGGACAGGAGAGGGCAGGGCTGGGGACAAAGGTCAGGAATGCTCCACACACCTTCACCTGGCTCACTTCTCACCACTCGGCCTCCACTTGCAGGTCCCCTGCTCAGAGGACCCCCTGCCAGCCCACCAGAAGAGTTCCCCTCTACCCCTCCACCCTCCCCGGCCCTGCTTTGAGTCGTAGTGCTCCTCATCGCAGAACTGCGCCTCCAAAGTGCCTTCCTGATACACAGGAGGCACCAAATTCACGTGTTAAATGAGAGGACTGAGAAGTTGCCCTCGGAAAGATGAGAGCTGTTGCCAAGAAAGGGACAGAATCTAGAGGTGGCAGAGGTTCAGGAGCCACAGCTGTGGGGTAGGCCGGAGCCCGAGTCTAGTGGCACAGGAACTAAACAGACAGAGTTTCAATAAAGGGCCCACAGGGCTCACTATGGTGAGTGGCTTAACAATCTACTGCTCAAGAGGAGATGGGGCGACCACTGATGGAATAAGGGGTAGCAGGACCCAAAGGAAAGGTAAAGGCATTAAATCCCGAAAAAGGAGGCCACGCCTTCCTCTGAGAGGCATCGGGGAAGAGAAACAAGGTTCCTTCTAGCAAGACATGCACAGGACAGCAAGCCTGGGCCAAGTCTCAGCCCACCTGCAGAGCACCCACACTAACCTGACATTCAGCAGAATCACACTTCCACCGTCCACACCAGACCAGCACACACAAGGCTGCAGCCAAATGGGTCAGGCATGGTGGCCGCAGACATCCTTGAAGACCTGGCGTTTTCTAGGTAAGAGAAAAAAAAATAGAGCTAATTCTAAGATTAGAGGGCTTCGTAGCATGAAAAATAATGGGAGCAGTTTACAGCCAGTCTCAAATAAGTATATCTCCGATGAGGATGTAGACACTCCCCAGGGTTCTGAATGGCTTAGCAGGCCTCTCACCTTCTAAGCAGGAGCTGATATTTTAGATGACTCTTGCACCTCTGAAGCACTCTAACCTAGTATTTGATCAAGGATCTCTGTATTTATTTTTTTAGAGATAGGGTCTTGAGGCCAGCTCAGTGGCTCATGCTTGTAATCCCAATACTTTGGGAGGCCAAGGCAGGAGGATTGCTT